GATGTTTTTTGAGGTGTTGGTCATTAATCTAACTGCTCTTCCTTTAGAGCTGATCTGTATTTTTTGACTGGCTGCTTTAAGTCTTCTGTTTATAATTTCTCTGTGAATTTAATGTCATGGTTTTAATCTCCCTGTTTTGGATTTGTTGGATTGCTTTGGGCATCAAAATTTCTGTCATTTTTCTTTAGACGTGGTCTCGTTCCCCTTTGTGTTATTGTCTTCTTGAACTTTATTTGAATGTATGTTAAATCTTTTCAGCCTTTTCTTTATATCTTCTAATCTTTCTTATTTTTTGTCTCTTTATGATGACTTTGTGCTGCATTTGAGTCATTCTTTTGGATCCATCTTCCTGATTCAGTAATTCCCTTTTTTAGTTGCATCCTACTGTGTCATTCAGTTCTTTTATTGTTTTTTGTTTTTTTCTCTTCTCTCTGTTTCAGCTTGGTTAGTTTTACTGACCTATGTTTAAAGTCATTGATTCTTATCTCAGTGGTTTTAGTCTGCTGATGAGCTTGTCAGTGGCATTCTTCATGTCTATTACTGTGTTATTTTGTTTCTGACATTTTCATTTTACTCTTATATTTTTCTTGTATCTGTTGAAATTCTCTGTCATATGCATGTTGTCTATACCTTTTTTAGTGAACCTTTAATATATTAGCCATAGTTGGTTTCAAATTATCTATGTGTTAGTTCCAGTACCTGGATCTCCTCTAATTTTTGTAGATTGCTGTTCATTACTTTGTCTCGTGGTGGTGTATTTTTTTTTTTTACACTTCCTTTTTTAGATGAGTCATAATTTTGGATTTAATGCTAGGTATTGAGTATGGGGTGATAACTTTTAGGCTTGAAGATGAACATAACTCTTCTTGTGCTGGAATTGAGCTAAGTTTGAATGTTTTTGCTGTTAGTGTTACCTTTAGTGCCCCAGTGGTTCAAATTCATTTAGTGTTACCCTGTACTTAGGTTTGGTAAAAACATTTTTTTCAGGGTTTCTGCTCTACTCTCAGTTTTAGGCCTTCCCTATGCTCTTTTGCTTCAGATAGGTCTCTCTGCATGTTTTCATCCCTCCTCCAAACATGGGGTGCTGTTGCTTGTTACTCACTGCTTGCTAGCCTGACACTGGAGATAAGGGCACTTGGGGCTTTCTTATTCTCATCAAACCTCACCTGCTTGATGGCTGTTTAAAATCACTGGCTCATTTAAGTTTCCTTTTGTTTGAAAGATTGTTTTTATTATAGCTTTATATTCTGTGATACTTCCAGCAGATTGCAGTGTTTGCAAGTGTAATTATGTTCTTAGGGTGAGGGCATTATTTTTTTTATCACATCTTACTTCCTCTCATGATTAGGTTTTGTTGTAGTTGGGCTGTTTTGTATGCTTGTCTGTGAGTTCATATGTATTGCAACTTTCGGTATGGTAATACTTTGAGGTTTGGGTTAAAGTTGCCTTCTTGCAAGGAGGTTTTACATTTGTTTGTTTCTGCCAGTTGATTTGTATGTTAACGGTACTGGACTTCTTTAAGTTTACTTATGTGCTTAAGGGGTATTATGATTCAAATTATAGACCTGCATGAAGGTTGGCTTGTGGTTTTGAAATATCAGGGTGAGGGTATTTTTGGTTTGGTTGTGCTCTTTATTCCCCACCCTGCGTTTTTCCCAGTGCCTGGCAAGTTTTCTTCCTGTCCCCTTATGCCTATGCTTACCCCTTATAATGAGACTATCACTATTTGGGTTGAGGTTTGTGAGTAGGTCTCTTATTGGATACCCCAACTCTGGTAGATTCTCCTTTTTATCTTATGTTTCTCTCGCTTCCTACAAACATCAAAGTGGAAGGTCTTGTCTCTAGAGTTTGGCAGAAACCATCTGTAGATTGGGAGCTTTATTGGTTTCCTGAGTTCAAGTATTCTTGCTTTCATTTCATTCCTGGCCTTTAGTCTCCTTTTAGTCTCATTTTTTTTTTAGCTTTGTGTATGTGAAGTTTTAATTTTCAAAAATACCACATTGTTTTTAAGGCATATTTAATGTTTTAAATATAATTTAGGTGTATTCAGTGGGAACTTTGTTAAGGGCATTTAATTCTTTGTACTCCAAGAATAAAAGGCATTGTTAGATTTTTCTTTGCATTTGGTACTTTTCTCAATATTTTGGAACAGCCTTTTCCTAAACTTAATTTACTTACATTTTTGCTCAAAAATGCCTTTATTGTTTAACTCTGCTTTGCTTAATAAGTGGTAGATATTAAAAGATCTGTGTGTCGCATAATATTGGACTTTCACTTAAAGTAGATCATCTGTTTCATCCTTGGAATAGGGCAATATGAAATTGATGAACTTTTTACTCACATGTAGGTTTTGAATCATTCACTTGAGTGAATTTTTTAACTTATGAGACTTTGCACCATGTATACAATAGGAAGAGTAGCAATGTAATAGGGTTGTTGTAACTCTTAAATGAGATAAATTACAGTTTCTTTTATATGGCCTCGTGTAGTGACTCAATAAATGTTTTTTGAGAACCTTATACTTATTTCCAAGGACCTAACAACATTAAACATCCATTTTAGCAAACCTCTTGAGTGTTAAGTGAACAAAGATGAATATAATATAATACAGTTCCTACCTTAGGGAACTTATCTTATTAGTGAGGTTGGTATGATTGGTGCTATAAAAGGAGTAACACCTTTCTGGGGTAGAGGAGGGATTATTTGAATTGGATCATAAGGTATGTATAGGAGGTCAACATGTTGGCAAAAAAGGAATGGGCTTTTAGAGAGAAGTAACAGCATCATATGCAAAGGTCTGAATGCAGTAGAGGACATATCTCATTTATGAAATGTCCAGGTGTATATACAGAATATGCCAGTTGAGGTCTGAGGAGAGGAACGTCTGTTGTGGTTATGAAAGAGGTGGCATTTGAGAAGTATCTTAAAAGATGAATAGTGTCTAAATGGTATCATGTGGAAATAGAATGTGTAAGATAGCACAAATTGAAGATAAGTTATTTAAGTAGCAGACTATAAATTATTTGCATATAGGGGTATATGAATAGTCACATGGACTTGGCTGTTACTCATGAACTCTCATGCCTGAAACAACAGATTAGACATCAACTCTTTCTGTGAAACCATTGGGAAACTTTGCATATCTCACTAGGGTTTATTTTAAGGGGGAAGGAGAATAAGGAAGAAACTTTTCTAGGGTTATGTATAAAGTAATGGAAGCATTTTGGGGATAGAGTTTATGTAGCTTTGAATACAGACTGTAAGAGTTTAAAAAGTTTTTTCTTTTTAACCTTAGACGTCCATTGTAGCATTTTGAACAAGAGATCTGATGTAATGATGATTTATCTAGGTGATTTATCTGACCAAGCAGGATAGAATTGGAGAGGAACATGTCTAAAGGAGGAGGGTTACCTGTTTCTATAGTTCAGGACTGAGGTGATTAAGACTTAAAGGGGTGGTGATAATGGGAATGAAAGATAACATTATGGGAGAGATATTTAGAGAAAGGATTGATACTCTAGAAAATAACTGAACCTAAGCAGGGTAGCTGGGAATGTTGATGAGATTACATACTGTAGTTCCCAAATTCTCCCCTTATCTGCAGTTTCACTTTCTGTGGTTTCAGTTACCCTCAATGAAGGTGAGAGAGGAAGAAAGAGGGAGAAACTGACTGACTGACCTACTGACTGACTGACCTACTGACTGGCCAGCCATATTTACATAGCCTTTTTTCTTTAAAGAGATGGGATCTTGCTATATTGTCCAGGCTGAACTCAAACTCCTGGGCTCAAGCAATCCTCTTGCCTCCGCCTACAGGGTAGCTGGGACTATAAGCACACACCACTGCATCTCTTACATAACTGTTATTACAGTACATTACTGTAACTGTACTATTTTATTATTAGTTATTGTTGTTAATCTCTTATTGTGCCTAAGTCCTACATTAAAGTTTATCGTAGATATGTATTTATCGGAAAATACATTATACTACACATCCATGTGACTATTCCCATATATAGGGTTTGGTAGATGTTTCAGGCATCTACTAGGGGTCTTGGAACATATCCCTCACTGATAAGGGGTACCACTGTACTTGGGTGCCTAAGAAATTTTTGATATTAGCAAGAGGTATGACATTAGCAGGAAAAGTCGTTTTAGGGAAAAACTGAACCTGCCATTTTCTATTCATTGGATGTGAACTTAAGGTACATTTTAGAGCATATCAATACTCTAAAAACCTTTGTAAAAAATAGCTAACTTTAAAATTATGGTGTAGTGTGTGATTGGACAGGCAGTGCAGTCTCGTATGAATGGCATGGACTTTGGAGACAGACTTGTCTTCCAACTCACCTTTAATAAGTTTCACTGTTTTAAGACTGGAGCATCACTAATCTCTGGGTTTTTCTTTGTCTATAAACTAGAGATAATAATACCTGCTTACCAGACTGTTGTATAAACTAAATAGTATAATATATATGCATGCTGGCCTATTTTAAGCCCTTAATAAATGTCAGTTTTCCCTTTTCTTTCTTTCTTAAAAGATGCCAGCCTTATTGGCTATTTTCATGCATTAAGACGAACATCAAACCTAATGCATAAAGTATTTTTGTGTTGCTTTTCAGCAGTTCACTGAAACCATAACCCTGATTGTTTGCTAAGTAAAATATGAGTATAATCAGTCAGTTTGTAATTAGACTAACTTAGAAGTTGTAATTATTGAATGTGTAAGTGTAGTTAACAGCCTTTGTTTCTGGTAAGTGACTTTACTTAGAGGATGTATGTTTATGTCTGCAAGAGAGACTGTTTCCTGGAAGGAAACTGTGGTCTGCAGATCTTTATAATAACATCACCTTTAATCTTTTTGAATTCATGAACATTGATCTAAACAGACGTTTCTTGCAAGAAGTAAATGAAGCTTCCTTATGAGCCTGATAAGACTCCATAGACTGTCAATATGGAAAAATTGGATATTTAATCAGGAATATGAACATGTGTTTCAGGTAGAGAATTCCAAAGATAATGAAGATAGTATTATACAAAGAGAAATTCCTGCCAGACAGTCTCGAAGAAGATTTCGGAAAATTAACTATAAAGGAGAGCGCCAAACCATTACTGATGATGTGGACATTAACAACTATCTTTCTGTGAGTATATTTAGGAACACGTCGTGAATACTATATATTTTCACATATAGTATTATTAGTTTACTTATATTTTGGTAATACCAACACTTTGGGCAGGTAAATATATATGTGTAATTTTTAAAATTACTTCTGCTTGGCTGACTTATTTAGAAATACTCTTACCAGTGGAACTTTGTTTTTTGCTTTTTGTTTAATTTTTTTTAAAGTTCTTGCCACATCATTTTTAGACATATTTGTGGATTTTCTTGCCTTTTTATTGCCTAAATGGGGATAGAATAGGTGCTGAGAAGTCAGGTAATAGACTCATTGGAAGCATTTCTCCTGATAACACTGTAAGAAGTAAAGAAAAAAGCATAGCAGTTTTTTTCCTTGAGACATGGGTCAAATATGCATAATGTATTTAGTGCACAAATATATGCAAGGGTTGAAGATATACTTTCACATGTAAATATTGAGAAAGAAGAAGCAGATGAAATATTAACTTTGGTAACACCAAAAGAAGTGCACAGTGTGTCTTCAGAAGTCTTTAATTGTGTAGTTGTACATAACTTTTTAGACCGAAAAGTAGTTGAATCAAGAAATAAGGGTCGGTGGCTCAGCCTGTAATCCCAGCACTTTGGGAGGCCAAGGCGAGAAGATTGCCTGAGCTGGGAGTTAAAGACTAACCTGGGCAGCTTGGTGAGACCTCGTCTTTATAAGTCACAAAAACTAACTGGGCATGGTGGTGTACGTATGTCTGTAGTTCCAGCTACTTGGAAGGCTGAGGCGGAAGGAGATTGCTTAAGCCCAGCAGGCTGAGGCTGCAGTGGTGTGAGCATACCACTGCACTCCAGGATGGGTGACAGAGTGAGACTCCAACTCAAAAAGAAAGAAAGAAAGAAAGAAGGGAAATCTAAGATAATAAATCCATGTATATGTTTGAAGAGAGAGGTTTCATAGTTACTAATTTTCAAGGGAGTTATGACGCCCAAAAGCAGTTAGTCCAAAGTTTTTCCTTTTTTGTTTGTATATGTTAAAATAATAATGTGAGGCGTGGAAGGGTGGTTGATTGCAGCAAAATTCCTATGTTTATATTTTGTTTGTCTGGTTTTCAGAAACAGGCATTCACTCATTCCATGTAAGGAATAAGAAAGATTATTTAAGGAGTAGCTTTCTCTAGAATAAGTACTAGATTTAAGACCACTCTAAGGATTTTGTCACATTTACCTTATATCATTGATTGTATATATTTTATTTCTGTCAACAAACCCATATGAAATAGTCTCAAAATGTATGACCACATCTAGAGACACAAGGTTTATTTCCAATTTTTACTATTTAACAATTTATTTTTCTTTTTATACACTAAATTTACCCATTACTGATTAATTTAAGGTGACATATTTTCCCCTATTATACAAGTAATATGTGTCTATTTTTGAAAATTAGAAACTGACTGTTCCCACCACCCAGTTATATAACCATTTGATGATAATTTGTATATTCTTGGATAGGCTTTTCACCATATAGATAAATGTGTAAGTTTTTTTTTTTTTGCTAACTTAAGAATTTAAATTTTGTTTATAATTTTTAAAACTTAAATATATAATGTGAACATCTCTGAATACTGTTATAGCTTTTTACACTCTTAATAACTGCATAGTATTCCATTATAATATGCCATAATTTATTCAGCTCCTAATATTTGATTATTTAAATTGATTCTAGTTTTTTTAAATAAGGTGTTATGTATCTTTGTGGTTATATATGTTCACATCTTGATTTCTGTAGAAAATATTTCAGTAAGCAGAATTGCTTAATGAAAGTATCTTTACTTGTACTATTTGGTTCTCCTTATGTGAGCTAAAAGAGTTGATATTTTGTGTGTCTTGATTATTGTTTGCTTATTCTAGTGTTAACTTTAATGTGTTCTTTTCCCAGATTTTTTTGTATAGTCATGAAGCCTAGAGAGATTTTATGTTTTCTCTTGGTAGTTGTGGATTGTGCTCATGAATTATTTGCTTTTACCCTTCCCATGTGCTGAGAGTTATCTTCTTATGGATGTGCTGGTTTCCTGAGTGGACCAGAAACAGCCGTAGACATACTTCTTGGGATATTACTTGTTTGACAACTCTAAGTAAAGTGGCATTTTTGCATGTATAGCTAGTGTTAAGTGGTTATCCTACTAAATACTGTCAAGAGTTTGGAAAATCATGGAAAAGAGAACTAAATTAATTCATCTTAGACAAATCTGGTTTATTAACTATGAGACTGGGTTAGAGAATGATTTTTGGTCATGTTACATGCATTTGCCATTTCTTAAATTAATTGGGTTAGCTGTTTTTTTTTTTTCTGCAAAGGATATAATTCAGTCAACCTAGAAAATGCAGCATTGGGATTTTCATTTACTTTTAACTAATGCCATCAATTATGTAAAATTTGTATATCTGACTAAAGTCCTAAATATTGACAATTGGTCTGGGTAAGGATACTTTGTGGCAAAAATCTTAATAGTATGTATGAAAGCTTCCGTAGATAATTGGTTTTATGATCACTACGGAGTCCTTTATGTCTTTTGTTCTGTTGTCAGCAATTCAGAGAGAAAGGTCGGGAGAAATCATTCTTTCCTTTAGACAGCAGTGGATATTTGAGGGAATTTTGTTGTTTTTTTTTTTGAATTTGCAAACTATCATCAACTTCATAGCATTCTGAAAGTAAAAAGAGTTCTTAAAGATGAATAGAATATTTTGTTACTGTTATTTCCTTTATCATAATTATTTTTAGTATACGATTTATGCATCATGATTTTGTGAATATTAACGTTTTTGCATGTAGGTTATTTTCTGAGTGCTTAGAATAGCTGAAAAAGATGATTTATTCTTGTGAAATATTTTCATAGTCTTGTTGTACATTGCTTTATATAAAGATAAGAACCTTAATCTTTTGTGTTTTGTTTTGAGTCAGAGTCTCACTCTGTTGTCCAGGCTGGAAAACAGTGCCACAATTACCATTCTCTACAACTCCAACTTCCTGAGCTTATGTGATTCTTCTGCCTCAGCCTCCTGAGTAACTTGGGACTATAAGCATGTGCCACCACACCCAACTAACGGTTGATTTTTTTGTGTAGACTGGGTCTTGCCATATTGCCCAGGTTGATCCTGAACTCCTGGGCTCAAGCAGTCCCCTCACCTCAGCTACTTAAGTGCTGGGATTACAGGTGTGAGCCACTGTATTTGGCCTAAGAACCATCATCTTATGATAAAAAGTTTTTTCCCTAATATAGAATGAGGACTTCTGTAGCAGTAATAACATTTTTAAAACTCTTTTGGATATTGTTCTCAGAGTTTACAGCAATGTTTTGGGATACAATTTTTATAACTTAATTGAGACATCTTTAAAATATAATACACCATATGTAAAGTGCATAATTTGATCAATCTTGACATATCATTAGTGTTTAAAACCATCACCACAATCAAGATAATGATCATTTTCATCTCCCTGAGTTTTCTTTTCTCCCTTTATAATTCATCCTTTTCTAAGGCCCCATCCTTAGGCAGTCACTAGTCTGCTTTCTGCACTGTAGATTAGTTTTCTAGGTTGTCATATAAATAACATCATACATTGTTTTTTGCCTGGCTTTTTCACTCATTATAATAATTTTGAGATTTATCTCCGTTGTGTGTATTAGTGGTCCCCCCCTTTATTGCTGAATAATATTCCATTGTATGACTATTCCACAATTTTTATCTATTCACCTATTAATGGGTATTTGGTTTGTTCCAGTTTGGGGCAAGTGCAAATGAAGCTGCTATGAACATTTATGTAAAAATCTTTGTTGACACATATACTTTCATTGCTTAGGTTAATACCTGAGAGCAGATGTCTAGTCATTTAATAGTAAATGTGTGTTTAACTTTATGAGAAACTACCAAACTGTTATCTACAGTGGCTGTGCCATTTTGCGTTCTTTTTGTGATCAGTGAGAGATATTTGTTTTATATCCTCACCAACACTTAGTATTGTCAGATATTATTATTATTTTAAAAATCTTAGTTACATAATAGTATCTCATTTTGGTTTTAATTCACATATCCTTGATGACTTATTATATTGAGCATTGTTTTATGTATTTCTTGTCTATTTGCCTATTCATAATTTTTTGTAAAATATCCAAATATTTTCAGAGCTTCCAAATTTAAATGTCTTCATATACTTGGAAATTTCAGAGCTTTGATCTTTGAGGAAGATGTCTTTAGTAGCAAAAAAAGGATTGGGAGTAATATTTGGTGAGCATGATGGGTAATTAAGACATGTAGAAAAAGTCTATTTATTAATAGATGAGCCATCTGTCTTATTCTTCCTTCACTAACTGTATGATTGGGGCACTTCATCTAAACCCTTTGTGCTTTGGTTGCTTTACCTCTAAAAATGAAGATGGCAATACCAGGTCTGAGTGCCTTACAGGGTGTTTGCTGAAGTACTCAGAACATAAGGTGTACATTCAAGTCTAACCAGTCAGTAATATCTGCAGATACTGACTTCCAAATGGTTCTAAATTTGTGTTTTTCTCTATTTCCTCATGTTATTCATTGCTTAGTGTTTACCTTTTATAGTACTGTTGTAATAGTATCCCCTAAACTCCCCCCACCCCAGCCACCTTTCACTTTAAAAAAAAGAAGTATTTTTTTATTTTAAGATATCTGGAAAATACCTAAGAGCAGAAAAGTATTGCATAATCTCTATCAGCAGATATCTACTTAATCAATTTGTTTAATTGATTTAAAATTTTTTTCTCTTCTTACTGAAATTGTTTCCCTGTTGCTAGCCCTGTTTCCTACATTTTCCCCATTTCCTTGTCACCAACTAGTTCATTTATTTTGCTTCTATGAGTTCTAAATAAAGCTCTAACAGTGTCACTTGTTTTAAACTCCTAATTCTTTTCATGGCCTACCACCATTTATCAGAAAAGTTTCAAGGATCTAGTATATAAGGACCTTCATAGTCTAGACCAGTGCTGT